TATACACTTAATCAGTCTTTCAAGCTTGCTCTTCCAGAGCAATTCAATTCCCTAAGTTCTATTTTCAAGGCAAGCAGCTGTATTGATCTTACTTAACCATCTCTTTCCTCCATTTAACCAGTCCCACCTTATTCCACGTGGTTAAGTTAGAGACAACCTTTTAATATATCACGTCTACACTCATCTCGTGCCTAGACACAAGAAGTTCCAACTCATTCATGAGGTCAAATGAAAAAACATGGGATTATTTTTAAAAGAGCAGCTTGCTACAATCCATAAAAAATTGCTACAATATTCCTTTGTAGTCTATTTTCATTCAAAGGCTAGAGTAAACAAACATCAAAAATAATAGACATTTAACTCAGCTGATGTCACATGGGTTACTAGTAAGAAGTATGTACAAGTCATCACAGCAAAAATGTCAAAACAAGACAATTGTTTCCAATGCAATACTTGTACAGAATAATACTTAATATCTAGAGTAGGAAAGAAAGAAACTGACAGGCATTCAAAATCTAACCTGGCACAAAGACAGACTGATGTTGTCAAACATCTGTTCCTTCAATTCAACTATTATTTCCAGTTGCAAAACCTCCAAAGATGACTAAGTGAATCAGCAGTGATTTGTTTTAGCTAAACAACTCCATGCTTTTATTACAGTCTATTCAACCCGTCCACTGCAAATAAACAAGAATAAATGACTTGAATAAGGATTCAAGATATTTTTCAGTAAGTTGAGAACTGAGATAAACCAAAAGTCAATACCTGAAAGTACTGTGAAATGTCTAGTTTTGTCCTCATCTACAGAAGTGCAAACCAAAAATAACTCCATAGGTCAGCACCATAATACATTCACTTTCTTTTGAGATGAGACTTCACTCTTATGAACTATTAAAAGGGGATGAATACTAATATCTTATTAAATCTCAAGCATGTGTGGAGCCTCTTTATGTTTCAGTGTCTCAGTCTTTCAACAATCCTATTATTTTTTGAATGAAAAAAGGCAGAAGAGATAGAATACTTCTGAAAAATACATTATCCTTGATACAAGCTAATGCCATGGCTGTTACTGACGTGAAAGTGCAGTTAAAAGGCTCATTTTACTTTAAACATACTCTTGAAAAAATTAATGCTTGAAAACTCTGACACCAAAAAAGCTCCTTTTAAATTTGAAGAGCATGGGTAAAGATTACATACTTCAGACCACTGTATATTCTGTATAACTTCCACTGTTATATTCAAGTTTAAAACAGTGTTTGTTTTGGCTTGCTATTCCTGCTTTAAAAGTTGTTTTTACATTGGATCATGTGCAATATTCTCCCTGTACAGCTCAGTGTCAGGTCTCCTCTTTATTGACAACCGTCATACAGGACTGCACAATGTGCAGTCCAGCAAAATGTGTGTTGGACACTTCACTTCCTTCAAACACATACAAAGTGAGATTTAGTGTCTGGACACCAAAGATAAAAGCTAGTTTTCCAAATCAGTGTCTTCAAAATAAATAACAATTTTCTTTGTCAGAAAAGCCTTTATAAGCCTGTAATTACAAACATGAAAAACGCCCATCATTCAGGAAGTTTTCTTTTCTTTACAAAATATTCCATTATATATTGACCCTGAAATTAGCTCAGTTGGTTGGAGCATGGGGCTAATAACACCAAGATTGTTGATTCAGTCCCTGTAGGAGCCATTCACTTAAGAGGTGGACTTGATCCTTGTGAGTCCCTTCCAACTCAGAATATTCTGTGAAATTTCTGTGAAATATTGTTTACATCAATTCAGTCTGTTTCTATTAGGGTTTAAATCAGAAACTTTAGATTAGCACTTACCCATTTTTACTAAATACCCGTATCCATGCTTGTATGTTTGGTCCCAGAATACACAAGCACTGTAAAGTAGTAAAGGTAGACAGGAGAACTGCAAACAAAAACGTCTCAGTAACTGACCTACAAAGAAAGAATATTACAAAATTAAGTGAGGTAGGTTATTAATTTTCTAAGAGTTCCAAGATTTAGGGAAAAAACCCAAAACCTCTAAGTCAGCTTGTGAAAGCACAAGTGCTTTCTTAACCTCATGTAGAAGAATAAAATATTTTCTTCTTGCTTTGTAGAATAGTAAAGAAAATTGGAGAGAGTTCTGCTGTTATTTCAAGACTGAAAGGCAGTAATTATTTTAAATGCCCAATATCTGTAACATTTTTAAAACACCACAGGTGTATCTCATATACAGCATTAGTTCTAACTTGAAGTATACTTGCACATTTACTTAATTATTCCATTTATTTTTCTAGTTTGATGTTGTGACAGTAGCCATGAAATGAAACTACACGATGCTATTATTAGTCAGTAACTTAGTGTATCTCTCAAAAATCAGACTGCTTCATACTTCTACTTTTTTTCTTTTTATAAAACTTTTCTAAAAGTTAAAACACTAATATCAAAAGGATGAAAGACATGCAAGATGTGTGGTTTAGAATCTTATGGGGAAAATGACTAAATGAAACTCTGAAAAATGTGCGTGCCTGTATGTTTAAGGTAAATATTGAAGTAAAAGAAGTTGTTTGTAAACAAGACTTCTCCAAATAAAACTTGTAAGAGCTAGCTGCTAAGAAAACAAACAAGCAAACAAAAAAACACAACAACAAAACTAAATTAAACCAACCAACCAAAACCCAAGCAGCCACCCTTCTTCCCCCATCCAGGAGCTTATCCTTTAACTTGCAGTGTACCAGAAAACATACAAGTACTTATACCAATATCTGCAAGGAGAACTGCCCCTTAGAATGTTTAGAGAAAGAGAGGGTCTTCTGACTTACTCTATGAGAGGTGCTCCATAAAGAACAATAATCGCATGAAACAGTATGCAAGACATGAAAAAGTATATACAGCATTTTAGAAATCTGGATATCTAAAAAAGAGCAATAAAATATCAGAATAACATTTCAAAGAAGAACATAAGTAACATACACAGTCTACATCTTATCAAGAGCACAGTACTTTAATTGCTTCTTTAATTCCAGGTACAACACAGTATAATAGCATGGCATATTTAAGAACAGTTTTCCATATGTTTAAATAATTAAAAATTATCACACACCATCTAAAACTTTTTTCATGCAACCCTTTAGAATAAGGCAAAAGTACAAAAAATATAACCAGAAATGACAGGATAAACAGAAGTAATTTTATTGGATATTTTTACATTTCTGTTTTACATCTGACTGTCATGTCCATTCATTAAGAGGCAACTCTCACAGAAAGTGAAAAAATATTTAAAAGCAAGAAAAGATGCAATATAAAAAAATATGCAACATTCCGAATCAAAATGACATTAAATAAAAAACACTGCACTTTGAACTTGGCATCTTAAATTCCAAATACATTTGGGAAATATCCAGACTTTCTATAAATCTGCAAAACACGCAACTTTCTATGAACATCAGTTTCTGGGTACTCACTATATTATATAGAAGCATACACACTTGATAAATAGTTCTGATTAGGTCTATTCTGATCAGGTCACCAATGCAATTCCATAATTTCCCTTTAACTCTTTTGTATATTTACGCCTTATGCTAGTCTAAGATGAAACCTCACCTAGATCATGAAGCATGCTTCATTTTTATATCAGATTGTTAAAATACGTGTTTTCCGTAATGGTTTTGTGCATTGCACATCCTCCTCAGTCAGCAAAACTACACAGAAGCTTTGCATACAAAGATACTGCTTTCTGAGATGCTTGCTTAAATGTTTAAGAAACACTACATCAGAGCACTACATCTTGTCTGACTGAGCAAGTCAGGAGTGTGAGACTATGCACCTGTCTTCAAAACTCTGATGCATTCCCCCACTCCTGAGCAAGTTGTGTGCTGCTCCAAATTCCTGACGTTCAAACTTACTTCACTGGGATTTGTACCTTTAATGTTCCCTGTTGCAAACTGTAATTACAAAAAATGTCTCCCAAATTTAGATTTTTCTGTATGAAATTTTCATCATTCAAGGAAACATAGCCATTTTAATATTTTTCCACATAACTTTTTTAAATTGGCCAACTTTGTTTAAATTGTAATGAGCTAGTGTCTCTTTTATGCCTCAGATTCTAAAAGTAATTTTTCTTCCTTTAAAGTCATTACAAACTTACAACTACACACAAGAAGCGTGTGATGACATGTCTTTTTGGTATACCCACTAATCAAGAAGAGTAGCAAGGCCTGGACTACGAAATGAGTTCTGTGCCCATTCAATTTTGCCAGATTTTGCCACCATGCAAATTCTTGGGACTACAAACAGCAATGCACTGACAAGAATAAGGAAAGCACAGAGTCACTCACCCAAACAGGTTATGTACAGATGATAGAAAAAGTTTAATATAATGAAAATATTGAAAAACTCGTTTCAAAAAGCGCTACACCCAGCTCATTCATGGAAAATGAGAATTCACCACCAAAAAGTGTCTTTTCTTTCTCACTGGATTATTTCAGAGAATTTGATTCCCCTCTGTATTGTCTGGTAGCAACTTAAGAATAAAAACAAATCTTACCTTTTGAGCAAACGAACTTCTCTTAGGAGACTGACTTGGTTTAAGGACTAAGTGCAAGATTACGTTAAGGGTACCGACACAGACAGAACAAACACACAGCCACGTGAGGTGCGTTCCCAGCACCGTGAATCCCTCCAGGAAGAAAGACGGAACAACCGCCGTCAGGACAATCGACAGCGCACAGAGGAGGTTGGCAGCCAGGAGCCTCCTGATTTCCGCCTCTTTCATCGTGTTCCCCGGGAAGGGACCACCCGCAGGGCGCCGAGTTAACTCGCTACGGAAACGTGGCGGCAGCGCCACAGGGCAACATCTTTCCTAGTCGCGATACACCAGGCAGAGCCCTGAGCCTGGCTTTTGGGTCAGAAGAACGTCAATCACGTTAAAAAAATCAAGGGCAGCCCCTGGGAGCAGCAGCCCCAGGCCCTGCGGCGTGAGGGGCGGTAGCGCCGCTCCCGCCTCTGACCGGGAGCGCCCGCGGCCGCCCGGCAGCGGAAGGCGGCGGGACCCGACGCCAGATCCGGGGCGGTGTCGGAAGCGGCGACTTGTTGTGGTGGGGCAGACATGGTGTGCGAGAAGTGTGAGTGCGGGGGACGGGGGGTGTGGGGGGTCCTGCCCTGCCCTGTCTTGCCTTGCCTTGCCTTTCCTGCGGGGGTCCCGGCCGGTCCCCGAGCGGAGCGGCAGCTGCGGGTCCCGGGTTGTTCGGGGCGGACTCTGGGCGGCGGCGGCGGTTCCGGGAAGGGCCCTGTGTGAGCTGTCATTCCATGGGCAGTACCTGTGGCACGTATTAGCGCAGCATAGTTTAAATGATCCTGGTCTGTATCAGGAATAGTGTGGCCAGCAGGACCAGGGAAGTGATCGTCCGTCTGTACTCGGCACTGGTGAGGCCGCACCTCGAGTACTGTGTCCAGTTCTGGGCCCCTCAGTTCAGGAAGGATATTGAGGCGCTGGAGTGGGTCCAAAAAAGAGCCACGAAGGTGGTGAAGGGTCTGGAGCACAAGTGCTAAGAGGAGCGGCTGAGGGAGCTGGGGTTTTTTAGCCTGGGGAAAAGGAGGCTCAGGGGAGACCTCATCACTCTCCGCAACTACCTGAAAGGAGGGTGTAGCCAGGTGGGGGTCAGCCTTTTCTGCCAGGCAACTAGTAACAGGATAAGAGGACATAATATTAATCTGCTCCAGGAGAGGTTTAGGTTGGATGTTAGAAAGAATATCTTCACAGGAAAGGTGATTAGACATTGGAATGGGCCGCCTAGAATGTGATGGAGTCACTGTCACTGGAGGTGTTTTAGGGAAGACAGGACATGACACATAGTGCCATGGTCTGGTTGACAGAGTGGTATTAGGTCATAGGTTGGACTCAATGATCTCAGAAGTCTTTTCCAGCCCAATTGATTCTATGATTCTGAATTTTTTTTTTGCTTTGTGATATCTCCTTGCATAGGCGAGAAGAAGCTTGGTACGGTGATCACTCCCGACACATGGAAAGATGGTGCAAGAAACACTACAGGTAACCCCGGGGAGGTTTAACACTTGTTTTTGAGGTATTATAAAGCCAGTCAGGCACCTGAGCTATCTTATCATATTAAGACTAAAATGTTACATTACTAATCAGATTAAATCTTAACTCACATAGTTTCCCTCCCATGCTGATTCAATGCATTGGGAATTTATTACCCGAAACTCTTCAGTATTGAATTTGTCTGTTTGGGGTTTTTTTTCTGTATGGAATGGCAATAAACAGAGTATTTAAACAGAGTATAAAGTGTTCCCTTGTCTTGCCCCCTAGTGCTATGCTGTTTGTTTTATCTCTGTGACTTGTTTTGCTTAAGTGTAAAAGCTGTAAACTAAGCTTCTTTAAAGTATGCTTAGAACTGGGAAATGAATTCGTTTATGGTTTTGTTCTTTCTGTAGAAAGCGGTGGCCGCAAATTAAATGAAAACAAGGCATTGACCTCAAAGAAGGCAAGGTTAGTATTTAATACTGATTTTGGCTAAGAACATCCGTTAACAAACTAACTGCACATCTGGGCAACTACTCAAAACTTGTCCAAAACACGCTTAAAAAACCCACAGTTGTGGGGATTATGATATTTTATTAGTTGGTAAAAATATGTCAGTACATATTTCATGAGGGCTTTCTGCTCAGTCATAGAGTGTGGACAAGTATTTTACTGCAGTTCTCACTGGAATTGCTAGAGTTTGATGCTTTTATAAGAGAGAAGCTGGGAAGGCTTATTTTCTGTGCTAGATTGCTGGTATAATCTCTTGAGCATTTCCTTAGGGTCCAAGGGACTTCCTGTTGTGCAAAGGAGCAAGATGCTGCTGGAAGGTGTTTAAGTGCAAAGTCATGTAGTATTTTAATAAAAAATACACATTTTTAGTTCTGCTTTTTCAAGTTTTTGTCTGTAATGCAAGAAATTTCTCTTAGTAGGGAAAGTGGGAGCTTTTCTGCATACTCTGTGCAGCCTATTAGAATTAATCCTTGTATAACCCTTTTCAAAATTAAAGGTTTTGCTGGAGTTTCTGACTGTATCCTCTGGCATAAACTTTTTAGGATGAGGCAGAAGAAATACTTAATTTCAAGGTATATAAATAAAATACCTTTCTTTTTTTTCCCAGGTTTGATCCTTATGGAAAGAACAAGTTTGCAATATGTCGGATCTGTAAGAGTTCTGTCCATCAGCCAGGGTCTCACTATTGTCAAGGATGTGCCTATAAAAAGGGTGAGTTTCACTGAGTACCAAAATACCCCAGTTTGGTTAGAAACTAGGTAGGAAGGGGAACACTTGAATTTGTTTTGCCCTACAAACAGAAGGCTAAAATGAGATTATCAGATTTAATTGCTGTCTTTGACTACTAATAGGAAGGCACAGAGAACACAAAGACTCTTCTGAGGTGCACAGTAACAGAATGAAAAACAATGTACACAGGTTAGAATATGGAAAATCCTAATTACATACAAGGAAAGCAATTTTTCAGTGTGAGAGTGATCAAATACTGTACCAACAGGCACCACCAGAGGTTGTGGAATCTCTACAAGGAGGTATTCAGAGGATGACTTGAGCCAACCTCATCCAAACTGGCTGTGTTTTGAGTGGGGCAGGACTAAAGACTGCTGGAGATTCCTTTCAGCCTGTGTAATTCTGTGATTCTGGCTCTTCTAAAATGTTTCTGGTATCAGAACCAGTTGATTTGAAGAATAACTCTAAGCTTAATCTTGGCAGTTGCATAGGAAACTGTCATCTAGCAAGTTTGATTTTTCTCAGGTTAAAAAAAATTAGATTTTGTAAAACTCATTTGATTGTTGCAGTCCCTTTTCTGTTCCCCTCTCCCCTTTTTATAATAACTGAATCTAAAACTCTAAATAGTGTTCTCAAAAAAAAAACCCAAAACAAAACAACAAACAAATCCCAAACCGAAAACCCAAACAAAAACTACCCCTAAACCAAAAATGAAACACTCCACACTCATCCACCCCCCCAAAAAAGCCCCCACAGAACAACCAACTTTTAATCTTGGTAAAGCAGTAAGCTAGTTTAAAAAGTAGAATACCTGGGGAATAAAAAACAAAGAGAAAAAAGTAAATTTCTGTATTTTCTTAACCCTGCTACTTTCTGTCCATCTCAGGCCTTGGTTTGGCTACAGGACTTAAAAGGATTAACAATACACCAATTTTACCTTTTTGCTGGATGTGAGCCTTTCCTGGCTCTCTTCCAGAATTCCAGCAAATTACAGAGGCTTCGGGCAGTGTTGTGAATCATAATGCTCTCAAAATAGAGCTTATTTTCTTGAGTGGCAGTATTACACATATGCTGCAACTACTAATATGTATTAGAAGTCATAATATTACTTCTAATTTTGCAGCATCTGTTGAGAAAACGCACAGAATGTCAATAAGAGCTCATTTGAACAATTTTTTAAAAAATAATCTTTACAAAAACATAGCATATATGTTTTTGAAGAATGATTTTAATGATTTTAAAATAATTTACACACCTTTCATATGCTTATAGGCATCTGCTCAATGTGTGGCAAGAAGGTCTTGGATACGAAGAACTACAAGCAAACTTCAGTCTAATTGTGTTGAGTAGTCTTTTTTTGAACTTTAACTTCTGTGTCCTTGTACAGTAACTCTTCCCTAAAATAATTTGTGAATATTGCTTTTTGGAAGTTAATGCAGTTATTTGGAATGAGATGAGAGGTAAAGACAGCCTGATTGTTTGCCTAAGAATGTACATAATATTTGATTCTTGTTTTAGCATTAATGTTAACTGATATTGAAAGCTAATGGTTTGCAGCAACTGGTACAGTTCAAAGGGAATGAGAAGATCCTAGTGGATAGGTTGAAACTATGTTACCATCATAAGAGAGATTTTTGATAATAACACTTTTATTCTTTTGGCCTATCACGAGTCTTCTGCTTGTTTCATAGTTATATTTTATAGGTGTATAAAATATGAGCTTGTATCACCTCATTAAAATATCTTCATTCAGTTCTATACCTGTAAGTTTTTATAACTACTCTCAGCCCAAAGTATTATGTCCCTGCTCTTCAGATCTTAATGCAATTGTCCTGAATTTTGTTTCTGCCTACAGTACAGTTGGTTATATCACAAACTGTTTAACTACTGAAGTCTACTGAGTTGCCCTGCCAGTTCTTTCTTTGTCATTGTCGTGGTTTAGCTCCAGCCAGCAACCAAGCCCATGGAGCCACTCTCTCCCCCACCAGCAGGACTGAGGAGAGAGTTGGAAGGATAAAAGCCAGAAAACTCATGGGAAAAGGGCAGTTTAATAGGGAAAGCAAAAGGCACACACACAAGCAAAGCAAAAAATGGAATTCATTCACCACTTCCCATGGGTACGCAGGTGTTCAGCCATCTCCAGGAGACCAGGGCCCCATCACATGTAACAGTTACTTGGGAAGACTAAACACCATCACTCCCAACATCCCACACTTTACATACTGAGCATGATGTCATGGGGTCTGGAATATCCCTTTGGTCAGCTGGGGTCAGCTGGCCCAGCTGTGTCTCCTCCCAACCTCCATGCACCCCCAGTCTCCTTGCAGGCAGGAAAGGCCTTGGCTCTGTGTGAGCCCTGCTCAGCAATAACAGAAACATCTTTACGTTTTCAACCCTGTGATCAGCACAGATCCAAAACACAGCCCCATATCAGCCACTGCAAAGAAAACTAACTCTACCCCAGCCAAACTCAGCACAGGCTAATCACCTATTCCCTCGTTAGCCTCCAGGGAGGCTTTATGTGTGGCATCTGGTGGCCCAAGGCAATAAAATAATGAGCATCAATTTCTAAGTGTCTCAGTCTCATAATTTCCTAATTTGGTCTGGTTTTTAGATACCTAGTTTGAAACTTGCTCTTGAATTTGATGATATAATTGCTTAAATACGTGTCAAATTTGAAAGCTGAAAGCAGGCTGCCTTGTCTTGAGCACTGGTTTGATACAAGACTTGAAGTGAGCGTGTCTGAGCATGAGAGGCTGCATACAACTCTGCAGTTCTCTTGTCCTTTGCCTAGTTTCTACACAAGAAAGCAATTTCTGTTATGGAGCATAATAAATGTTCACTTTGCATGCATTTTAAGGGGAAAGAACGGTACTCCTTAATTCATGGTGCCGTTTTAACTAGACCTATTTAAGTGTTTACTCCTCCCAGCAACCTTCTCTTGGCAGTCTTGTGCTTTTGCAATTTCCTTTCAACTCTCAACAGAAGAACTATCAACGGGAATTTCCCTGTGAATATGTTTTAGGTTTTCTTTTGTTCTCATATTTTTTCTGAGAAAGCTGCATGACTACTGGATACTGAAAAATTGCTGTTCTTTCTATGGGACCAAAAGAAGAATACTGTGCATATAGTTAAGCCACCCTGTAGTTGCACTGTAAGTAGCCCTCTAAAGGGGGGTGTTTGACATTTCCTGTCACCCTTAATTATGCATTATTGAGCATTTGTCACCCACATTTCTTCCAAATGTGTTAGCTTCCTGCAGTTGCTAAAGGGGTCATTCTTTTCAGCATTTTATATTTACTAAGAAGCTTTGTCAGGATAGTGGAGTTGGCTGAATTTTCCAAAAGAAGAGAGGAATGCTGCTGCTTTTCACTTCAAAAGCTTCATTTATTGCAACAATTGAATGGAGGTACATGGATTAGCTAGCTGGTGATATCTTGGTGCTGGCCACTTGTTTCCAAACACATCAAGGAATTCCAATATTAGTGTATATCTCTATGACACATCCTTTGTATGGGGGAAAAGAAAATGTCTATAATTGGCTTCAAGCTTTGCAGCAAGTGCTTGTAAGGAGTGTATGACGATTTCAGGTGGCAGATTCTCCAATATTCTCTGAATTCTTCACCCTTTATGGGTGTGTGCTGTAAGATTGACTGATTTTTGCTATTCTGTGAATAAAACTTCTTTTCTTGTCTTCTTGAAACTGGCCAGTATCTCTACTTCAAAAGCATGACATTGTAACTCTTGAATACATGGTATGAATTGAATGTTTATTGCACTCTGTAAATATTGGTACTGAATGAACTCTTACCTCATTTTGTAACTGATTTAAGAACAACAGGGATTTAAATAATATGATACTTTGTTTATAATTATTTTGTGAATCAAACTTTTAAGCATCTGTATGCTGTTACTGGGCAGCTGCTTTTGCATGTTAGAATGTATTTTTGTTGTAAAAGGAGGATGTGGTTTGTTTTGGTGGGCTTTTTTTTTAATGGTGGATACAAAGAGTGTTTTGTTTTTCTAGGGGTTTGTACATGCTCAGGATCTTCCATCTGTAGCCCTCAAAGCTTCTTAGCCTTGTGAGAGTTTCGGTTCCTGAGATCTATAAAATATGCTGATGTAACAGTCAACTTTCAGAAAAACTCATTTTCCAAGCATTGCTTTGGAGTCTCATTGCTTTAAATTTAAATCACAAGCCATCTCCTGAACCTCTGAGATGTACCACTGTTCAAGGCAGTCTTGGCAAAGAAGCACTTAAAGGTAGCTTTTAAAATTATATACACCCTCCTTATAATTGAATTCTCATATAAAAGCATATTGTTGATACTAAAAATGTTTTGTAAGCATGGGATGCCTTTCCTGAGATATTATGCAGTGAAAAACAAAAGAAAATTTGTAATGGAAAATTGCCAGTTTTGTTTAATGTACTGAGAAAAACACAGTAATATTCCCAGATGATCAGCCTGTCCTCTAAATCACAGGTTACATAAGAGATTTGTGCTGCCAACTTTAGTAGGATTAGAATTTTCCTCAGTACTGCTGAATTCCTAAACTGTCCTTGCTGTTCCTGCATATTCGTTGGCCAGAGCTATTACTGAGCTAAGTATAAGCAATATTTTGGTGCAGATTATTGAGAGAAAAGAACAGATTAGCTACATAAATGTTGCTGTGCCTGTAGCAGCCAGTCAGATGAAAATTGAACAGGAACTATTGAAGGGTCCTTCTTGTGTCAGGGTGTTCTCACATTCTTCCCTACGTTTTGTTTTTTTTAATCTTGTTCTTCCTGCTGCAGAAGCTGGAGTCAGGACCATCCAAGGACAGGCATTTGGCAATATGGTTCCAAAGCATTAGGACTGTTTTATTTGTTTACTTGTAGAAATGTGGTGGGTTTTTTTCCTGTTAGGTTTGTTCTGTTCCTTTATTATCAGAAGAATAGCAAGAAAGACTTTGTCATATATACAGGGATGTCACTGAACCTCTTTGCATTGTTTTTCTTGAATATGGCCCAGTCTTGCACCACAAGCATTTAGCAAAACAAGAGATGTACAAGCTTCAAATTGTAAGTCTGTTACACCTACGTGCTTGTTCTGTTATCGCTCCTATCATCAGCACATCTCTCTGCAGTGCCTGAGATTGCACAAATCTTCCAGTTCTGTACTAGCTGAGCATTGCTCCACCCAGAGGTGCTAACGCCAGGACCCTCTGCCAGTCTCACCATCATAATTGTGGGCAAGAGTGGTTGAGGCCTTTGTATTATTGGTGGACATAAGAGGTATGTGCAAAAAATAAAAAACACTTAAGCAGCTGCTCAAAGTAGTACAATGAACCACATTGCTTTATTTTCCTAATACAAAGCGGCAAGTTTCCCAAACACAGAAAGATTCCCCAGCATGAGAGATTCATTATTCATTGAAAGACAGTAAACCAAGAGCCCAAGTTGTGGCTCTTTACATCTGGAATGACAAAATTTAGTTTATGATAGGGCCTCTGTGCTGAGAATAAGATTCTGGAGCTAATAAAGTCTTTTAAAACCCTCTCAGACAAGTCATTGCTTTCCTTGGATTGAAACTGGGCTTCCTGATCTCCTGTAAGTATATATGGCCTAAAGATGGGCCCCTTTCTGTCCTTTGCCTTGGATATTGGAGAATCCAAGAGTGGTTTTTGGGATGTTGCTGCCCAGGCACTGACCTACCAGTTGCTTCCTAGAACTGGCTACTCAGTGAACACTGGCTCAGCATGGGGTCATGAACGTATCTCTTTTGCTTGGGGTTTCTTACCAGATCACTGGTTTAGAAAAAAAAGGTGGCCAGGTGCAAAATGGAATACTGGTGGCAGGAAAATTCACTCTGAATATCACGAGAGAATGAACACATTCCTGCATCACAGCAGAGGTTGCTATTAAGCAAAAATATTTTTGCTTTCCCAGTAAGCAGGATTGGTTGGACAATCTGACCAGGCATGATGACAGCCCTTACAAATAACAGAACCAAATGTTTCTTTTAGTGAGGATTATAGATGTGCCCCATGTGAAGACCAGTTGGTTTTGAACCTTTTGTCTTCCTTCCAAACATGCTTTTATGGAGGAAGCTGTCATCTGAAATTCATCAGAAACTGATTTTTCATCAACCTTTATGGATGGGGGACATAGTTCACTTTGCAGAACTTGCATGAGGTATACATGAATTCATCATGCCTGGCTAATGCCTGCAGAAAATGCGAGTTCACTGTTGACAAAGAGTGCTTACTTTGCCCACTCAAGGGCAACCGGACAGCTGTGTTGAAGGAACCTGGAAGAATTTGAAATCTTGCCAAGAAACTGAAGAAAGATCTGAGTGAAGTATTCTCCATGTGGGTATTGCTAGTAAAGATTACTTTGTTACATGGTTCACAAAGACACTACTGACACTTTTTTTTTTTTTTGCCTTGATGCCATTCATTTGTGAAAAATAGCAAGTAGATTTTTCAGGCACTGCTGAATTGGTGAGCCAAGAACTACCTAATTAAGCAGCCATTTTCAGACTGGCTTTCTAGTAGGAAACTTCTGAAAACTACTCCTTCCTTTCTGTTTCTCTCTTTTGCACTAAAAGATGTGAACTGAACTTACCAATGTTAGTGACTCATTAGGCGTAAGCGCTTCCAGCAGATGCACTTGCTATATGCTCATCTGCCAAGTGCCATTGGGAAAACAAATGTTGAGGAGGTTTTTTTCCTGCCTCATCATGGTTATGATGATTAAATACCAGTACTGTTAACTGTTTCAGGTCTCATGCAAACAGACAGAACTCACAGTTGCCATTTTCTACTGGCTAATGGGTCTCATCACATGCATTTTAACTATATCATAATCAGCCCAGTCCAGGAAATCATTACTTGCTGTTAATTTTCTGCTACTCCTTTTGCTGCCATAGAAGGTAAAGATTTTAAGTTGATACAGCTCCCAGATTGTGTCATGGACATTCACTCTTCTGGTATGTTTACTACTGTTCAGTAACACAGCAGTGCAAATATGTGTGACAAAAGGCATGGCTCTCAGGGAGTTGGCATCTAGCCCAGTCCAATTGTCATCTTTTATTGATTAAAATATTTAAATGCTAATTGGATTAAGCAAAGACTTTACTCTGTTGTCTTAAATCTCTGTCCTTCTATGGGGGGCTCTTGAAAATGTGATGACATGACATTTCAGTGAGGAATAGCTTTCATTTTATGGCTTCCAAAAGCATTGTTTTCCTAAAGGATGGGAAGTAAGCAAAAGTGATATAAGGCAACAGTCATTCTACCAATTTTCAGATTTGGTTTGGTTTGTTTGTTATGAGGGTTTCAAAGAAATCTTTAAAATATCGGGCATATTTTGTATACACAGTGTTGTCAGCCTGAATTCGAAGAGAGCCTGAAGGGGGGCGTCATGCACTGCCTCTGTGTAGCATCCTGCAGTGCTGTAGTGGAGACTCTGGGCAGAGAAGCTCCATGTACCCATCCTGGTGGTAACTAAGAAAAAAAGTATCTGCTAGTGAAGGCAGCAGAATTCAGGAGTCAAAGTATTCAAATTTAATGTCTGTGGCAGATTCTAAAACATTACACGTAGTGAACTGTGTAAGTGAATCTTTGAAGCTTCTTGGAAAACTCTGTAGAGAACAGCAAATGCAATTTATTTCTTAAGTTTTTGCTGATAATATTCACGCCCTTTCTTTTTTTCTGTTTTATCCAGATTTCCTTTTATAATTAATTCTCTGCACCTGCCTAACATACAAGCATATGTTACTGGGGAACTTTGGGTAAGTGCAACATTGATAGTTGCACTGAGGAAAAAATAGACAATCGGGTATTATGATACATGAAGGAAAAAACTGCCAGTTTTTAAAGACTGTCACATACATTCATTATAAAGGAGAAAACTTTAAAAATTATTTATGTTAGTTAAATTAAAAACAAATGATCATGCAAATATTACAGATATAAACCAGTTTGCAATCTCCATGTTTTGTTATTCTATAAAATATATCTGAAGATTTTGCTGATTTGGTTTGGGTTGGGTTTTTTTCAGAAACAGCTAGGGGCCATGGACAATTTTTAAGTTTACTTCAGCAAATAATTAAAAATTTCAAATCCTTTCCAGTATGTGACTATGCATGGCAAGGTCATGAAGATTGTTTGGAGGTGAATATATAGGTTAGCCAGGTTTTGACAAGTGTGCTTGTCACATGCAAGCTGTGAAATGCAATTTTATAAACACTGCTCTACCATAAAGTGCCGTATATTCTGGCTTTATTCCTGCCTTTATATTGGTAATGAAAAAAATCAATGCTTGGATTGAGGGAGGAAATGGTAGGACTAGGAACAGTAAAACTGTGTGGAGCACAAGTGCACACTTCTCTCATGGAGCACTCGATAAGCATTAACTTTCCCTTACAATCCCACAAAAGGTAGATAAATAGGAACCGCTCAGCTGATTTGTCCAAGGCTTCTGAGGAGGTTGGTGTCAGATTGGGGTTAGAACTCAGTAAGAAAAACTGTAGATTGCTAGGAGATGGCTTGTCTCTGTGTCTTTTGTGTGTGCACTACTTTTGATACCTGGATGACCAGTGCAGACTAAGGCAGGAGTTTGACACAAGACTTTGCTTTAGTGAAGTTAGTTTGAAAAACAAATAGAGCATAGTTTTCTTATGGGATTTTTTTCCCCTCAAGGTCCATTCAAACAGTTTT